TCAATTCATCATATCTGTCTAAGTAATGAACGGAATTCGACCATTTTGGTTAATACTGGTAATATTGGATAATCTATACTAATATTTGTGACTGTCGTTTGTCTGTCTGTTCAGGGTTGGTGGCTACACTCGACAGTTACGAGGCTGAAATTGGGTGTATAGGGGTAGCTCATCCTGGTGGCGATGGAATGCCACTTCCGGTTTCGGAGTCATGCTACTTCCGGTTCATATGGCTATACACGTGCTACCCCGGGTCAACCGCTAGTATTTGATAATAATATAGTTTGTATGCGATTAAACAACACTCACGATCAAAGACTTGAAATATATATATATATATTAACATTGTCACCATAAAATCAATTGAGTAACTTAAACATATCCACAAAAATATAATGTAAGTGAATCACTGACCGGCTGACTAACTGACTGACTTATAGTCGTTCGGGTGGGACCAAAATCCGAGGTCCCGTGAACACATCGGCGTGCACGTAAAAGATCTCTTGGCAGTTGAAATTCGATATATGAGTAGGAGCAGAACAGTAAGACGTTAAACCCCATTTCATTTCATTTCATATCGACAATTGTTGATCAAAAGTAAATCAATGAATGGATGAATGAATAAATGAATGAACAATTAGTACTTTGTCATAAATAAATCATTAATAATTATACATGTTTATGACTAGACTACAGACCTATTATAATTAAACGACTATTTATACCATGACATTTTGTCTGTTAATCAGACAATGAAACAAACAAATAAAACAATTTAATTCAATCTGGTTGGGGAATAAATGATTCTTTAAGACTAAAGATATAAACAGGGGGATTTATCCTATCAACCGCCGAGAGGGTATAATTGAATTAAAGCCATTTTAATCAACTGTCCGGCAATTCGTCGTCCCCCTAATACTAATAATCTCAACACCTAGTCTATCTCTGATTTTATCAAAGAGAAGATATGATTTGTGTTATGTTATATTTAGTTAAACTATGAGTGAATCAACACGGGGTGAATCGTACGGTGAAAGTAAAGTATATGTTTATTTAACCTAACAACGATAATGAGTCCCTTTTAAGTGAGGTTGAACTCCCGACGTCTGGCCAGGAGGCGCCACGCGAGCTTTCAGTAGAGGCTATCCCATTCACCGAACCTTTCAACGTCATATCTCTCGCACCTCTCGCGTTTTACCCCACACTTATTAATTAAATTTAGTGTAAGGGCGATGGTGGATGTATTTATTTCGGTGGATGTCTTGTCTCATTCGAATACCAACTTATCGAGTATATGAAAGTTGATATCAGCGGGTCTGACCTAAAATACAAATAAACTTATCATCGAAATCTCACAACTCACGAGGACGATAACTGTACGATAACAAAAGCGGCGATGACACGTTTTGCTGACGAGGTGTTTATGTCCGTCACCGGTCCAGACGATGTATTAGAGTTTAAAAGGTGTCACACGACGGTGTAATATCTCCTTCGACCCCCTGGTAAAAAAATCCACCCTTTTTTTCTAATTCAAGAAAGAAATTCTTCGAAATGTTTATCAGCAATATCAACTATTGTAGACCATTTATCCATCTTGAAAATTTAATTGAATATGTTGTTCGCCGCCTGCTTTCGAGCAATATCAACTGTTGCAGACCATTTATCCACCTTAAAACCTCAATTGAATATGTTGTTCGCAAAATCAACTGTTGTAGAACATCTATCCCTCTTGAAACTTTAATTGAATGTTGTCAGCTCCTACTTTCGAGCAATATCAACAGTTGTAGACCATTTATCCATAGTGAAACTTTAATTGGATATGTTGTTCATCGCCTGCTTCCATGCCACTAAATGTTATCGTTAGAGCCGCTGAATGCCACTTGCCTTTTCCGGCTTAATCCATTCAAATTGATTACTGAACATTATTTAAAATCTAAAAAATATCATTCAGATTGCAAAGATGGTCGTCAAAGATTAAACATACATTATGCAAAAGCTAAATCTGCCTACTGCAAGTCTTTCATTAGGCCTCAAATGTTATCTAAATTATTAATTAGACATTAATTTACTATATAGCGGATTGGAATACATTTTTTGAAAAATAATTAAACGTAAAATTGGATAATCGAGACTTGAGTATTGATGATCGAAACTAACCTAAAATTCAAAAGCTAATATCGAGGTTCAGAGTGGAGCAATTTGACTGAAATTTTCAGCATATTCTATTTACGTTATCTATTTTTTTTTTAACTATTATAGCGAGAACTGTCAACTCTCTACCTAATCTCCCATAATGCCCCTTTAAGGTCGCGCTGGCTCGCTTTGAGAACTAGGTTAGGAAGGCGCCCCTATCTCCAAGCCACATACGTTCACACCAGAGATCGAAACCACGACTGCAAGCCAGTGGTGACCGGCAGGCTAGAAGTCGAAGCGAGACACTCTAGACCACTATGACGATCTTTAAAATGAAAGGACATGAGGTTTAACTGGTAAGCATTAAGGCTAGGTCCAGGGTTAGGGTTATGATTAGCGCTAGCCCTGTTTACATCGTGTTACCTCTGACGACAAATTGAGCTGACCTTATCATTTAGCACTAACCAGCAGTACATGGAAATAACGCAAAACATAACTTCATGGATAACAATCACTAACAACTTTGATCAACGATCAAGATTAAAATAATAATATAATACAATAAAAATATAATGTTTTATAAATAAATAATCAAAATTGTTTATTCAAAATTTCATGTAAAAATGTGTCTCTCTTAAAAAGTCTAGAGGCTTTCTGTATAGACCCCCGTCTTCATTAGCCCAGTTCGGAGCAGAATAGTAGGACGTTAAACCCCATTTCATTTCATTTCTATATAGACAAAGTTAACAGAGTAATATATTTTAATTAATTACCTAATAACAATATCAAATAATGTGGACATTGATATTTTATTTTTCTCACGAATTCAACATATCTGTCATGAACTTTGTAGCACATGTTGATAATTACTAAAAGCGGCCGAATTACTGACGATTTCAACAAAATAAAATTATTCATAATGATAAACACAGGTTATGATGAATCGATACGCACTAACCGATGACGTAACAGTTCATTGGGCTTTTAGCGTGTTTATTTGTGTTTGCCCCCCTGTCGTGTCATAAGTAATCATAAGGCTCATATATTAACGGTATTATTAGCTTGAGTGTATGAAACAGTGGCGCCACCCGACTTACATGTGAACATGCTTCGTATCGTGTCAGTTCTTATAACCATATCTATACGCCCATTAGTAACATAATCACTGGGCTACTCGCACCATCATATATATATATTCTGACCACTCGACAAATTTCAAATATCATATCTTTTAAACATATATTAGTTGAATAGAAATACCAAAAAAAACTCCACCAAACCAACGCTCTTAAGCGACCTGCGAAAGACAAAATTTATGAAGCCAATTTTTCAAAATCGACTATTAAATAGTAGACTATTTCTTATAATTTTATATTCAACTCATTCATCAGGGACGGACTGGGGGCTGAATGGATCCCCAATCTGAGGCGCGAGAAAAGTTTTGAAACACTGACTGTAAATGGAGCGTTGTAGGGCATAGACTACGAAACATTATCGTGTGGCAATCTTACTACGTAAACTTTATAGTAAAAAGTTTCTGTAACTACCATAACCACAGACTCCTTCCCAGTCCATTCCCCATCCCTCGTCTCTCGATTATCTGTGTGTAGCCTGGAGAACAACTGATCGTATTGAGTTTTAAATGATCTAAATTAATTTTATTTCCAGATAAAATATTTGAAATGTTGTTATCGTAATGAGAAAAAAAAATCCCCAAGCTGTTCTCAAAATGGCTGAATTATCGTACAGACGAGACCTTAAACCCGATTTAATTCCATTTCTCTGGACAATATTCTTTGGCACAAAATTAAAAAATGTTGTTCGATGTTTGGCATTTTTGGGAATAAAATACTAACGACAATAATATCCTGGACATGGTATATTTCCCACTTAATGTACCTAAACAAAATAATTTTATTGCACAGGTTCAAATCCATACGTGGGCCGGGTAGAATCTTTGGGCTGAACAATCCGGTTTGCTCTTGACAAGGAAAGTGTCTGGACGTTCGGGTGCGACGAAAATCGGAGTTCCACCCGTCTATAAATTGGAGTAACAGTACAAAAAATCTACTCGATGACGATTAAATGGAAAAGACACCCCCTTCCCTAACATTGTGTAAATGATCATAGTAAAATAAACAACCGCATGTTAGTCTCAGAATGACCGGAATAGTTTGTTGGCCGGGCGTTAAACTCAATTCCTTCTTCTACCCTAAGTTATTGGAAGTCGGTGTAATTCACTTTAAATAAACGGCTTGTCGTCTGCTCGACGGAAAGTGAAGCCGTGAAGATCGTACACGACTCCGACGGGAGAATGTTACAGCCATGACGAGCACTTTAGTTGAAAATTCGTGAACTAACATGCGGCGCCGTTAGTCTGAGGCGGGTAGTTATATACGACATGGGCTTGTCGAGCATTTCATTCTTCTCTTAATAGCCTGTCAATCAAACGAGAAATGGGGCGGAGTCGAATAAGAAATTTAGACGCGTTGTACAAATGAACACGCTAAAGTGAGAACGATTTCGGGAATAGTGGTTTTAAAAGCAGAGAATTCAAAATAATTTAAGCTAGCTTCAATCCTAAAATGCCCTTTTTGTTAAATATGTTAGGTTTCGTTTTGAAATTTTCAGTCAAATAAAGGTGTTTTTCGATCATGTATCGTAAAATAACAAAGAAATGTGGGCGTGGACTTACAACGACTAGTCAATAAGTTATCTGTTATCGCGGCACGTTAACTGGCAGATCGTCCCGCCCAGCAATAATATGATTGGTCGCCCGGGTAATCCTTGTCCAATAGACTATCGTGTTAGATGATTGAGTGAGGCATGGATTGTGCAGGTTGTATAGCGACACAGTATGGCGGCGAGCGGTGACAGTGAAAACAATATTAGTATATGAAAAAGATGAAAACGTGAATTCTAGCACATTAATAACAATATTAGTCGGTATTTTCTGTATTTTGATGTGAAAGTATTTTGTATCTAATCTGATGATCATTGTACCCGAGTTCCGTCGGGAAGCTAAAATGGCGTTCAACCCGTTTCTATTTCACAGGCCGAACGACTACAGTATGGGTTCGTTATTGGGAGGCCAGCCGTCTTTTATACCGAGCATGTCATTCCAGCACCCCGGACTTGCTGCTTCACTTCTACCTAAATTACAATCGATGGGGAGGAACCCCCTTCTTCCCGGAGAACTCTTCCCCCATCCTGATCATTTCCGGGCCATGCGGGGAATGGATCCCCCTGACAACGACATCCAAGACGACCCAAAAGTGGATCTAGAAGAAAAAGATCTTTGGGGACAATTTCATAAATATGGAACGGAAATGGTGATAACCAAATCAGGAAGGTAAGAGAATTAAAATTTTATTTTATGTATTTATTTTTTATTAATCTGGTTCATTATATTTATCTATTTCATGGGCTGACTGACAGCTAGCCCTCTCTTTATTGTTCTTTCTTATTACTAATTTAACTTCCAGTCTTGTAAAACGGATGACATCACAGTTCAAACACATCTCGGATTTTAATTCACATTAATGGCGTCTTAATTAATACACGTGTAGAATATTTGTAAAATTTTGACTATCGGCAATTTCCACACACATGTGTATTCATGAAACATTATTAGCAAACAATTAAAATTTGTTTGAAGGAAGAATATAATTAATTTTAAAAAAACCACCAACCCCAACCTTTGCACGGTACAAGGTTTGTAAACTCTGATTCCTAAAATGGTTAAGTACCAAAATGATATTTATTTACAATAAGTGACCTTGCAATGGTCATTATTTACAATAAGTGACCTAGCAATGGGCATTATTTACAATTAGTGACCTTGCAATGGGCATTATTTACAACAAGTGACCTAGCAATGGACATTATTTACAATAAGTGACCTAGCAATGGTCGTTATTTAAAATACACCGGAGCTTTAGACTTTTTAAATTATTATTCATTAATAAGCATGATTAAAAGCTTATTAATGACAATCAATTAGTCTGGCTGTCAGAGACTCCTGGTATGTTCAATTATTGACACGGTGAATAAGCACATTACCATAATAAAACAAAGCACGGAAACACGAAGGTAAAAATATGAAAATGGCCTCACCAACAAATTGTAGCGTCTGCCCTTTACAGCGCCAAATAATGATGGCAATAAAAAAAGGACAGGATAATTTTTTTTTTTAACTCAGTACAAACAAATTGAATCCGACTGCCATATATTTCAACATCCAAAATTTAACCTGTCATATGTTTACGTAATTTTATCAGACAGGTATTTTAAATTTCTATTCACTACAGCTCTGTCGACATGCACCTGTCATCCATTACACTACATATCTCTCGCTCTCTCCCTCTCAGTCTAAAACATGCACTATCTTTCTCGCCGTTATTATAGTGGAGAATATGACCTTTACAAATAATAATTATTGAATATTATATTGCCTGATAAAGATACCTGTAAAAGTATTGAAACGTTGTATGTAATAAACTAAGAAGTGGTAAATCCATAATGTTGTATATTATTAAACGATATTGACATGTAATTTTAATGTACACGCCCTTTTATTTATTTGACCCTTAAAATGAATAATAAAAAAACCCAACATACATTAAATTTGAATTCGTTGGTGTTATTTGACTTGTCAGTCAATTGACAGACGTTATAAGATGCATTTCAAATTTGAAACAAATCCTAAAAACCCATATCCATTTCAGTATGTATTATGCAACCGCAGAAATTTGAAACCAGCACGTGTCTATGACGTAATAATTCAGCGATGCGATTTTCTGTGTTTGCCTTCTTAATTGTTGATATTTGAATAAATACAATTGAATGGATGGTGAAGCTATTCTCGGCATTGAACTGCTTGTATTTTATAGCCATGATATTTTTATTTATCAATGAAAATCTCCGTCATTTGTTTTAGTATATAAAATCTATTCTTATGACAGAATCTATTCTTAAGACTACGTAGCCCACTAGGTATTCGCCATTTAAATATACATTATGCAAGAGCCACATCTGCTTATTGCAGGTCGTTCTTTAGGCCTGAAATGTTACATAAACTAATTAATTACACATTTATTAACAAAACAAGACCATAATCGACCCTCGATGGTATCGGATACTCGAGATTTTAACTAGATTAAAACGGTTCGCCATTTAAAAAATTTAATTTTAAAATGGGAAAGCGAGGCTAAGTCCCGATTATACCAGTAGGCCTACCCTGGTTACCACTGTGCACACATCTTGTCAAAACTACAAATAATGATAACTTGGCTGAGAATGAAGTAATTTAAATGAAATTTTCAATATTTTCTTTTTTGTCATATGTTTTTGAATTATTATAGCAAGAATGACCAACTCTTTATTAAACTCTTAACTAATGTATCTCTAACTAATTACACTTTGTATTTCAATGTAAGACTTCTCAAATTTCATACACCCTCCTCCACATCCCCGCTTCACCTTGACCCCAATAAAATAACCATTGTTAATATTGTATACCAATGTTATATACTTGTCATTCCTCGAAGACACCCCCCCCCCCCGTTCCACCCCTATGCGTTCTTTTACATAACTGGTTTATGTGATATTTAAATTCGTTATCTTCAATTTGTTCAATTGTGCAAAAGCTGAAATTTAAAGATGCATTATGTAAGATTTAGATAAGGAGATGACATTTCTTGCCGTAATAGTTCGCAAATAGATAATGAAAAATGAATACATTGAAAATTTCATTCAAATTACTTTATTCTCAGCGAAGTTATGACTGTAGATATAGCATAGATCGTTCATTATAGTAGCAACGGTACTGTTTATCGTTATATATATTTTTTTTAAATCTCGCGGATGTTTAAATCCATTTAAATTCCCACCATCCCATTGTCTAGAACGTTGATTATAGGCTTTTTATGTTGATAGATGTTTAAATAAAAATTTATATAACATTTCAGGCCTAAATAAAGACCTGCAATAGGCAGATTTAACTCTTACATAATGCATCTTTAATTTAAAAGTGAAAGTAGAAGTCGTATTCTCAGATTGATTTCTTGTGGGAATAAATTGAAAAGTGTGAAAAGTGTTTTTTTTTTTTTTTTTTTTTTTTTATATTCGCAACTAAGACTGTTTTTAGATAAGATATAGTTAGTGTCACTCAGAATTTCAAGGTCAGACCGTTTATTTCTCCAATTAGCAGGCTGTATTGTGCACTAGGCAGATCGCGCTAAACCTTTTCTAGAACACGGTATACCACTTCCCATGCACAAAGAAACACTGGAACAGTGAAACACTATTTAAGCAAATATGAAATACGTTTAAACTATTTTAAAATTCAAATAGAGTTTCTGAAAGGAAAAGCGTGTGATTTAACGTATTGGCAACCATTACATGCGTAAACATAGAAATAAAAAAAAATATATTGTGTTAGTCTCAAAACCAACTAAATAAAGTGGCAAAGAGGCGTTAAACCCCATTCCATTGGAATACATCCTGTCAATAATTTATCTCTGTCAACTACAGAGTTAATTTTATTTACCATTGTCTAATATGCAATGTTATGATGGAAGTTTTCACCCGGGTCGCGGCTCCTGGTTAAAGGTTTAGGGCAACAGTTATTCAAACTGATAAATGCCATTGGAAGATATGACCGTTTGAAGTTTACATTTAGTTTCTATTGATTTCACTCCGGCATCGTTATGTATCTGAAAATCTTTGAAATATGTTTGATTTGTATCCACTGACATCGATGTCTAGAGATTATCAAGCATGCAGTTTTTGTTTAATTCACTGAAATTACTATTATTAAATTTGTATCGACTTACCACCAAATCTAGAGATTGCGAAGCATGTAGTTAATGTTGAATCACATAAATTATTATCAAAACAGTACATTAAACACTTTTTGATGAAATTTGTCAATGACCCTTTAACTAGAAATTATTTATAATTTAATATGTTTTGGTTTAGTTTTGGTAGTTCACCCTCAATCTCCTACAGAACCATTATTTAAATTTTGTCCATTTGCCATAAAAAATCACGAAAATCGAAATTTTTGTAAGAAATTTCAAACAAAGGTCTTCTGTGTGGGAAGCTGTATGACGTAATACCAATGCAAAGCAGCAATTGAAATGATTCTGTAAATATATAACCTGAAAAAGCGGAAATTCTAAAAATAATTATTAAAACAAAGTAATTATTAGTATCTATGGTAATATTTGGATCGTATCTATTTTGTGTATTTGCTTTACCTGAGGCTCGAAATGTTATGCAAATTAGGACCGAATTACGTAATATGTGAATGACGTCAGCACTATATGTGTTTAAAAAACCCTGATACATTATTTGAAGATGTATTTGCATTTTCTGAATGGTGATTTTATTTAGCATTGAATTTACTTTATAAAAGACAGGGTCTAGTAAATGGTATACATATACCCACTTCTGTGGTGATAAATAACAGTTTATTTAGTTCAAATCAAAGCATAGATTGTGAAATGAAAGTAGAACAAATAAATTGATCCGTTTCGCCAGACACATCAAATAGAAACTGGACTAACAGTAGGTTGACTGTCTGTAGTAGAAAATGTCATTGTATTATAAAATCACTATCATCCTTCTAGCGTTTATAGTCCTTCATTCGTCCAACGTAATATAATTATTACTCGAATACGGTTTTTATAGACAGGACATTTCTTGTTGTTTACAAGTATATGTACTTCGTAGTTTCTTTTTAAAAAAAATATCATTTGCTTGATAATGACTAGAGAAGCTATGTAATAAACAGTAATTCTCCCGTCAAAAGGCAAAACCTAGTAACTCACTTTTTTCTTATTTTGAGAAAACAAAGGAAAACGTAATGAATGAATATTAAACGCCAGCTCATCCATTGATTTGACTATTGAGTTACTAGGTTTTGCTGTGGTATACTAGGCAAATGAAGGAAGTTGCTAGGTTGTGTCATGGGTGTAATTGCTTACAAAATCAAAAGATTGGAATATCAAGTACAACAACAGGAGACACATACCCTAGTAACTACAAATTTGGTCCTAACTCAATTTTGATAAAAAAAAAAGTGAGTTACTAGGTTTTGCCTTTTGACGGGAGAATTGCTTGATAAGATAATGTGTCAGAACTTCGCTCAGTAATAAACGGTAATTGTATTGGGAGACTTGCGTCCTAGCAGTGATGTTCCTGCATTCGTTCTGGGGGTTGGATGGCTGAATGGTTAGCGTGCGCGCTCTGTATCATAAAGTCTGTCAATGAGTCGACTGGCGTGGTTTCGAATTCCCGGTTGTACGTGACAAGGAGTAGGGTCGCCTGTCCAACCTCGTGGGTTTT